AGACAAATGCTTTTTCCTCGCCCGCCCGTCCGGCGGTGGCTCGCGGTGTCCCGCGGTGTCCCGTGGTGTCCGCCGTTGCTAGGGCGAAGTCAAGAAAAATGATTCTCCCCCGTCCGCCCTTCCGTCCATACGTCCGGCGGTGGCTCGCGGTGTCCCGCGGTGTCCCGTGGTGTCCCGTGGTGTCCCGTTGAGTGAGATCGACACTGAGATCGATATTGAGATCGAGATTGAGATCCATACTGAGATCGATGTGGTGTCCCGTGGTGTCCCAAAAAGTGAGATCGATAGTGAGATCGATAGTGAGATCGACAGGTGTCCCGTGGTGTCCCGTGGTGTCCCGTTGAGTGAGATCGATAGTGAGATCGATAGTAAAATCGCTACTGAGATCGATGTGGTGCCCCGAGGTGTCCTGTGGTGTCCCGTGGTGTCCCAAAAAGTGAGATCGATAGTGAGATCGATAGTGAGATCGATGTGGTGTCCCGTGGTGTCCCGTGGTGTCCCGTGGTGTCCCGTTGAGTGAGAACGATAGTGAGATCGATAGTGAGATCGATAGTGAGATCGATGTGGTGTCCCGTGGTGTCCTATGGTATCCCGTTAAGTGAGATCGATAGTGAGACCGATAGTGAGATCGAGAGGTGTCCCGTGGTGTCCCGTGGTGTCCCGTGGTGTCCCGTGGTGTCCCGTTGAATGAGATCGATAGTGAGATCGACAAGTGTCCCGTGGTGTCCCGTGGTGTCCCGTTGAGTGAGATCGATAGTGAGATCGATTGAGGCAGATGTTGGTTCCCCTCCTCTCCCCCCACGCACAACCTCCTTATCACCCGAAGGGTGGTCGTGTAGGTACGAGTTTATGGTCATGCGGCCTCCGTCTTAAGCGACACCACCATCATCAGCGGGTAGCCTCCAGCAATGGTGTCCACGATGGCCTTCCTCCCAGGCTGAGAATTCGACCTGCTTCGAGCGGGACGGGACAAAACAGGGGGGCCACGCCACCCAGAGGACCCCTTGCCCGGCTCTCGCCCCTGGTGGCGGTGGTGCCGCCTTGCCTTGCTCACGCGTGTGCTGCCAGCTCTCTGCGGTGCGATCGTCCCGACGCCGCAGACGCAGCAGCAGAAAGTGTGCTGCCAGCTCCTTGGCAGCAGGCAAGCCGACACTCCTCGTGCGCGCAGTCGCCTCTGGTAGGTGTGCTCCCCGTGCGCCCGCGCACGCGGAGTTGGATGCTGTCAAGCCACCGGGAGCCGTCGGCGGCGAGCACGACGACGACGACAACGACGACGACGGCTACGACAACGACGACGACGACGACGACGGCAACGATGACGACGACGACGACGACGACGAGTCGCCAGGGCACCGTCAGGGGCAACGACAGGGTTCAGTCTAGCATGTCCCTCTGCAGGAGGAGTAATCAAAATTAGTCAAAATAGTCTGAAGCCCCAAATCCGCCCGTGGGAGGACACGCCCTACCTAAGCATGAAGGGGGGGTGCATCCACCCCCACTCGCCCAGTGATCGCCGATGGGGGCCCGACGTCCCCAACCTGCCCAGAATCGTCTGGATTCACTGTCGGGGGCCTGTCGCCGATCTGTCGGCGATGTATCGCCGAATCTAGGCCGATGTGTCCCCCCCTACGCCGGTCCCCCTGTATCGTTGCCCCTCATGCTCGTTTCGGCACGAACGAAATGGGTTCGGAAAGAATGGGTACAATGCCCAACAGCAGTTCCTGTTCATTTTGAACAGGACTCGTTGTCGGTGTCGCCGCGGCCTGTGTACATTTGAGACAGAAGGCCGCCTGCCCAACAGCGGCCGCTGTTGGTTTGGGGCAACATTTGATGTTGGACATTGTGCCCATTTTTTCCGTACCCATTTCGGGCGTCCAAATCGTTCCCGCGCGCACGTGGCCCAATGGGCACAGGTGGGAGCAGATTTGCAGCCAGGGCGCCGAAGGAAGGGCCGCGTTGGGCTCGGGTGGGGCTCGAGTGTCTGGGCCGTTCTTTGTATATACAGCCCCCCTCGAAGTCAAACGTACACATGGTTCATTCTAATTATTCGAAAAATCTTTGATTTTTTTGGGGGTAAGGTCCTCTCATTTCTAATTGTTCCATCCTGGGCCTCGTCCTGGCCACTAGGGGGCCAGGAACAATTAGAAACGAGCACAATTAGAAATGAGCACGATTAGAAATGAACGACGTGTAGATATACATCCCCCCTCGAAGTCAAACGTCAGTTTTTCATCTTGGTCGGCGCGCGAGAGGCGGCCCACGGGGTCAGGTTGTCGTGTCTGCAGTCGCCCGTTTCGGCGCGGACGCTGCAATTTCGGGGCCTTGGGGCGCCGTCAAGTCGAGGGAACAAACCTGCGCTTGATTCCGAGGGGAGATGTACTTGGCATCGCTCGGACGTGTGCATTTTTCCTTCGACGAGGACCATCGAGGAGCATCCTTGCTCATCTGGCGAAAAAACCACGCACGAAACTGAAAAAAGCACGGAGTGGACGTCCGAGCGATGACCAGTGTAGGTCCAGGTCGGGGAGCCCAGTCGTGGCCGGAGCTCGCCGTGGCCAGCCCCCCCCCCGATCGTTGCACCGTCGAGGGTCCCGGAGGAGAGGGGTCCCGAGGCCTTGTCCCCGCGTGCGCGCTTCTGGGGGCCCCCTTGGGGCCGTGGAAGCGCTGCGCGTGAGGACAGGCCGATCTTGGGGGCAGGCTCCAGGATCCAGATCATCATCACAGTCACCGTCACCATCACCATTACTTACGATCGTCATCATCACCATCATCAGCAGCAGCATCATCACCACCATCACCATCACCTTCACCATCATCATTATCATCATCATCATCATCCTCATCATCATCGTCGTCGTCGTCGTCGTCGTCGTCGTCGTCGTCGTCATCAGCATCATCACCCCAATCACCATCACCATCACCATCATGATCATCATCATCAGCATCATTAGCAGCAGCACCACCAGCATCATCAGGATCATCATCATCATCATCACCCCAATCAAAATAATCATCATCACCATTGTCATCATTGTCATCAGCAGCAGCACCATCAGCATCATCAGCATCAGCATCAGCATCAGCATCAGCATCATCATCATCATCATCATCATCATCGTCATCATCATCATCACCATCATCACCATTGTCATCATCATACCACATGGTACTGCCAATTGTCGCGTGGGCCAGGGCGCTCCAGTTCGTGAAGGACGCAAGCGACATGAGGACGCTGGGCAGTAGCTTCAAAGCAGCCGCACAGCGGCTGCAGAGCGATGGCTTTGACGCACTGGCAGGGTCAGGACCTGCATCGGCGCTGGTCCTAGCTTACCACAGGCTGGGCTGGACTTCAAGAGTACCGGGTCAAGCGTACAACCACATTGGGCAGTACATCGATCTGCACGAGCTGGGGGCGTCCACGCCCACGAAGATGGTCAGCGCCAGCCATGAGCGCCTCCTGTGGATGGGGTGCGAGCAAGCACCCTGGCTGGGAGCACCTCAGCGCAGGCGGGGCCCTGACCGGCGGCAAGAGAGCGATCCATCGCAAGCGGACCTCCAAGCAGACGGTCCAGGAGGTGAGCTCAGCCACCAACGCCACGCTGGGCTGTCTGTGGCCACTCGTGCGGAGGGCTGCGCTGGACCCCTGGCCGCCTCGCCCATGCTGTACCCGAGGGGCTGCGGCAGCGGAGCACCATCCGCCGCCTGGCACGGCGGTGCGCGGCGACGGGGGAGGCCAGGGCGGAGCACGCGGAAAACGGCGACGCCGACGGGAGGAAACCGACCGACGGCATCCCGTTCCGCAGAGGAGGAGGCCCTTTGGTCGCGCGGCCTGGCAGCGGAGCATCGCAGACACATCCCTCCGCCCACTTCCCGAAGGGAATGCGAAGAGGGTGGGCGCACCAGGCGCCATGGGCCAGCCGCTGCTGGGAGACATCTTCCACCGACTGGAGCGTAGAGGAGCCCAGCACATGCGCGGCGCCTGCATGGTGAAGCGCAATGGTCATGGGCCACGACGGGGAGCTAGTCGCCCAGTTCGGGCCCGTCCCCTAGCCATACCTGAAGGAGCCAGGGGCGGCGGAACTCGTGGCCTGCATCGAGGTTCTCCAGGCATGCATGCAGCCAGCACGCATCTGCACTGATTGCAAGATGCTCGTGGACGGCTTCAAGGCTGGCAGGCAGTGGTGTCTGCAGTGGAGGCGGCCTTACCGAGAGCTGTGGGTCCGCTCCTGGGAGACGATGCATGGCATCGGCGAGGAGCAGGTAGAGATCCACAAGGTGAATGCACATGCCAGTGAGGGCGGCCAGGCGGATGGTGAACACGCACGTGAGCAGATGAAGAGCTCTACAGGGGCCAGTGCCGCGGCGGAGAGCTCAGGCAGCCTCGGCGCCGAAGGCGAACCGGCGCATCGGCCGCGACGGCAGCACCCAGAACCACCATCCTTGCCGCCGTGGTGGACAGTCGACGTCCATGAATCGCATCGGCTGTGGCGAGTAGGCAACCGCCTCTTCTGCGTGGCGTGCGGGGCGTGGGCCCAGAGAGCGAGGTTGGCTGGTCTGACTAGGCCTTGCCTCAAATCGCCAGCCAACACCAGAGCCGCTCGCCCGCAGAGGCCGCTCCGGGAGCCCTCGGCGTGGGCCAGGCGCTCGGGGTGGTTAGCATGATCAACCTCAGTCTTTCTCACAGTCTGCTGATGCGGCCCTGCTCGAGCCGATCGCGCCGACAGGATGAAGACCCGATGGAGCAGCGTGCACACTCTTATGATTCTGTCTCCCAGGGGGGGGTGCGGGTGCACAGACCGACCGGGGCCGTGTGCCGCAAGGTGGTGCAGCCACGTCCGCCTTTCGTTTCGCGCGCATGCAGCACTGCTGCAGCTTGCTGTGCGTTGCCCGCCTCTGCCTTCAGGTGGAGGTGAAACGTGGGGCGGGGGCAGCAGGAGGAGGCAGGAGGGAGGAAGAAGGAGGGAGCAGGCGGGACTGAGGGGGGGCTCTGACCGTCCCAGGTCGATCTTCAGCGACCCCAGCTGTACCACCTTGGTCCAGAGGGGCACGGCCGCCACCAAGCAGGACAGGCTTTCGTGCCCCGCCATTGTCAACCTCTCTGCTGGCCCCGGGCTCGGGGGGAGGAGAGGCAGGATAATCAAACAGGTGGTACGAGACGAGGGGGAAGTGGAAGCAGGGAGAAAGTGGACCGAACGATGGCTGCGCCCCCCCTTGGACCAAAGGCCACCAGCTCGAAACTCGAAGGAGGTCCGGGAACCAGCGCAAGCTCAATCATACACCAACGATGTTGCAATACACTTGTGGAGGACGATCAATGGAAAGGAAGCATGTTGCCAAACAAGTTCCAGGTGTCTAAAACATGTTTCAAACCTGTTTCAAACATGTAACAACATGTTTGAAACATGTTTCGTTTTTATCGCATTTTAAACACATGTTAAGTCGTTGACGCTTCGCGAATCCCCACCAGCCCATCCAGAAACGATGCCCAGAGGAATTGCCTCGATCAGGGAAGTGGGCAGCACAACGAGGACGCCATTATGAGACATCTTGGGGTATCTGGAGCCATCTTGGAGGTCATCTTGGGCTCTCCCAGGCGCTCTGAAGGGTCATCTTAATCAGTGCTTCCCCAAGAGGCCAACATGTGGCGATAACCTTAGTAAAATCAATGATTTGGCATTCTCGCCGAGGCCTCTTGGAGCATCTTGGGTACCTCTGGGGGGTCTCTTGGGGCCTCTTGGGGGTCTCTTGGGAGCCTCTTGGCGGCATCCTGGGGGCCTCTTGGGGCTTCCTGGCCACCTCTGGGGGCCCTCTTGGGGCACCCTTGGGAGCCTTGGGGGCCATCCTTGGGCCATCTTGGGCGAGATCGATCACAGGAAGGGGGGTTACAAATTACAGTCCCCCCCCCAGGAGGCCAAAATGGGGCCAAAACCATAGTAAAACCAATGCTGTTGGTTTCCTCGCCGAGGCCGTTTCGGACGCTCCGACGGCTCGCGGAACCCCCTGTCCAGGTCCATGGGGAGGGGGTAGGGGGATGCGTAAACCCCTCGCCGAAGGGGAAGAAGGAGGGGTGGAAGAGGAAACGCTTTAAACCACCGACGCCCAGAGGGCTGGTGGGATTCAATGGTAGGGCTGTTAGAGTGTCCATTGTCATGGCATCCACAACAGTACACATTCGCGTCCCAAGTCCCTTGCTCATACATCCTCGCGAGCCTTCTCTTCCACCAGAAAGAGGCGCCCCACTGAAAAATCATAGCACCCCGTGCGCCTGCCCTTCTGGCGGGGGCCCCGCTTGGGAAAGGAACCGCCTCACATCCTTCCAGCTACAGTGGGGGCGGTCTTTAAGGAACGTGCCCAGGAGGCTTCAGGCCCTGGAGGGTTCCTTCTCTGAGGAGGGCGGCGGTGATATCCATGGCCAATCCACGACTGGCTTTCTGCGGGCTTCCAGACCCCTGATTCCTTATCGAGGGTTTCCTTATCCAGTGCCATCACCGTCCGTAACCATTTTGGCTCAAGTCTGCTCGGGCGTCCGCGGCGCGGGCGGCTGAGAGCTGGCGGCGGGGGGCTGTCCTCCTGAGAGGCGGCCCATGCGCATGGAGGAAGAAGCTCGGCTCGGAACCACAGCGGCGCGGCGTGAGGCGAGACGCAGGCGGCTGATGGCCTGTGAAGCTGGTCTACGCCGAGCTCTTGGGGACAGGGAGGGGGCCAGGCCCGTACCGTGGAGGGATCGCGAGGCGGCATCCCGCCCAACCCTGAGAGCGGCGGCAGCGGGAAGGAGAGTCTGTGGCAGCTCTCGTCTCCGCCGCAACGTGGCGCGGCATGCTGCTCAGCCGCCTCCTTGCGGGTTTGCGAGGGCCGCGAGGGCGGACCTCGCGCGGGCGGCTGCGGGGCCACGTCTGGCGGCCTTTGGCGGGGGCGCGTCTGGACCCGTGTGCGAGGCGGTGGAGGTGCAGAGCCAAGAAGCAGGCGGTGACGCGGGCAGTGTGCTGCAGCCCACCGCGGTGGCGTGGCAGCCGCTCGCGGTGCGCCCGTTCTAGCAGCTGCAGCCCCATGCCCCTGGGGTCTGGTCAGTTCGCGACGAGGTGGCCGAATGCCGCGCGCTGGCATTCGGGCAGGGACTGGAAGCTGGATGGCGGCTGGCGGCTTCCTCTCGCGAAGGCAGTGACGGGGTCCAGTCGAGCGCATATGGCGTGGTCTTTGCGGACCCTCCCGCCCCCCCTCCGGGGCCTGGATTGGACAGGTGCTTCAGCCACCGCGTGCGGGAAGATTGCGACCCCATGGACGTTGAGGTCGCCGGGGTCGTCCGCGACGCGGAGGGCGTTTGCTTCGGCGAGGCGGGCGGCTCATCAGTCGAGGTCTCGCCGGAGCTGCACACGCGGGGGGAGTTCGAGCAGGAAGTGGACAGGAGCTTCAGCCGCCGCGTGCGGGACGACCTCATTGACATCGAGGTCGTCGGGATTGTCCGCGACGCGGAGGGCGTTGGCGTCGGCGAGGCTGGCGACTCGTCAGTCGAGGACTCGTCGGAGTTGCACGCGCGGGAGGAGTACGAGCAGGATGACGCCGATGGCGAGTTGGCGAGCGGCTCCTTCGGCCCGCAGTCGGAGGCCGAGGCGGATGCCAAGCCCAGCGGCCTCGTGTTCGGCATCTTGGAGGGACTCGACCTCTCCATGGTCCACTACGTCGACGCCTGCTACGAGCTACCCAGCGGGGCGATATCCGTACACCTGGAGGTCATGGGAGTTGCGCGGTCGCCCTGGACTGGTGGTGGGGCGCAGGCCTTCGCACGCGGTTACGTGGAGGGGAATCGGACACGCAGTTTCGACTCTGGAGGTGGCTGCGCGACGGCCACCCGCACGCGGGAGCGCCGGGCCGAGAAGCTCGGGGAGGACGCGTGCGCGGACGTGGAGGCTGGATCCAGCGGCCCTGGCCTGCCGCGGCGCGTGGGCGCTGGTGCGGAGCCTGGGCCAGGCGCGGTGGCGGCGCCGAGCTCGAGCCAGGCCAGTGGCGTGGGGCTCATCCTTCCTCCGCTCGCGAGCGTGGCCAGGGCCCGCGGCTTCGCGAGCGTGGAGGCTGCGCGGGCGCGAGGGCGCGAGGCCCGCGCCGAGCGCGCGGCGGCGGCGCGCGGGGAGGGGGGGCCCCAGGAGGACGAGCCAGTGCCTTGAGTGGCTTGTTCCTGGGGGCCCCGCCCGCGCCTCTTTGCATGACGTTCGAATCGCGGGTGGGTCCGCTCACCCTCGAAGATCTCCACAATATGCCATCACCGTAGCAGTTATGGGCGCGGAAAGGTATGATCAACGAGCTCGACGGGGTGTCCCGCGACATCCCCATGCTGCAAGTCAAAGGGGCTTTCTCACCTGCACAAGTGCCGCCGAATGCTACACCTACACGTTTGGCCATGCACTTCGAGGAAGTCTCAGTCGGGAGCCCCACTTTGAAAAGGAGCCGCCCTCCATCTGTGCGGCCGCTACACATGTTCAACTGCTTGCGATCTTTCAATACAGTCGGACCAAAATATCAAATCAAAGTCGATTCAAAAAGGGTATCATATTAATTCTTCTTACTTGATATATATTCTTGTGCATCCTGGGGGAGGGCACCCTTGGGTGATCGTATGGCTTCGGGTGCTTTTAGGTCCGGCCGTAGACTGAGTTCCAAGCGTGGGCCCCGCTTGGGGAAGGACGGAAGGAAGTGCCCCCCACCCCCGCAGCCGATTGTAATGTCTTGCAGCGGATGTGCGCGGCGCGAAGGCGAGGGTCCAGTTTTGACCACGAGCCGCCCCCCTCCCCAATGGGAATGCCGCAATCGCTGGCAGCCAGTGCGCTCGGCGCGAGGGCGAGAGCCCCGTGCTGAAGAGCAGCCGCCGCCCAGCCTTTGGAGCAGATGCGGCAGAATTTACAGATGTGGGCGCCGTGCGGCTGTGCGAGGGCAGCAGTTTGAAGCGGAGCCTCGCTCCATGCCTGCTTCTTTTGCATGATGTCGAGGCAACGTGTGCGGCTCTGGGGCAAGATGTGCAGCCTGAAAGCGACCTGTGCTCCGCCGTGCAGCTGGTGCGAGGTTACAGGGCGAGAGTGCAGGGCGCCTGGGCAGGAGCCGAATCCTGAAAACCACGTGCGCGCCACACCTGTGGCTGCTTTGACAGTTTCAGACGAATGAGCGCGGCGTTGCGGCGAAAACTACATGTTGAGAACCACCATTTTCTTTCCGCGTGCCTGTTGCAGAGTTCAAGCTCCAGGATTATCAACGGCAAGCAAGTCTCAGGCGAAACGCCCCGCCCGCCCTACCGGCACGCTTCGGCGTGCGATGGGGAAGAGCTGCCAGTATTGAAAGTGGGTGGAGGAGCAGCAACAGGATCGGGAGAAGGAGGAGGAACGAGAAGAGGAGGAGGGGGAGGAGGAGGAGGGGGAGGAGGAGGAGGAGGAAGAGGAGGAGGGGGAGGAGGAGGAGGAGGAGGAGGAGGAGGAGGAGGAGGAGGAGATCAGGGGGGGCAAGAGGAGGGGGAGGGGGAGGAGGAGGAAAAGGAGGATGAGCGCAGCGGCCGCGCGGGCGCGGTTTCCTTCGAGGCTGAAGCCTTCTTGGGCAGCCTCTTGGGGCCTGCAACAGCGGAAGTCATTCACCGGGTCGTTTGGCACTGTTGCTCAGCGTGTCGCGCCGCTGGGTCAGACCCACCACGCTTCGGCGCGACACGCCAATCACGTCCCAGTTCCCAAGTTCCGAGCATGTCCCAGTCACCCGTCCCACAAAGCAGAGCGACACGCTATCAGCTTGCAAGGCACAGCGGGTCGGACGGGCCGCCGCCGCGGCACGCTCACCAAACGTTTCTGACCGTAGCAGGTCGACCCCGTAGCAACAAGGGTGCAGCCAAGGCGCTGAAATAAGGACCACTCAGGGCTAGGGAACGGCTCTAGTTTGATCTGGGTCGGGGAGCCTGCTCGTAGTCGAGACTCGCCGTGGCCAGAAAAACCTCTTCGTTCCTTAGTTTGCTGTCCTCATGGTAGCGCGATACCTGTAGGTCGGCAGCCCTGCGAAAGTTAAGGCGATATCCTCGTGTCCTGTGCATCGCGTCTCGTGTCCTGTTCATGTCTTGGGCACGGTTGCCCTCGGAACGGGCTTGTAACATCCCGGGTGTCCTCCGCAATCGGTCCCGTCCTTAGGTCTGTGTGTGGTGTGCGTGCGTGTGTGTGTGTGTGTGTGTGCGCGCGTGTGTGTGTGTGTGATGTGTGTGTGCGCGTGCGTGTGTGAATGTGTGTGTGAATGTGTGTGTGTGTGTGTTTGTGTGTGTGTGGGGGGGGCGTGTCAGTGCGTGTGGGTGAGTGGGTGCGTGCGTTTGCGTGTGTGGTGTGTGTGTGTGGGTGTGTGTGTGTGTGTGTGTGAATGTGTGTGTGGGTGCGTGTGTGGGTGCGTGTGTGGGTGCGTGTGTGTGTGTGGTGTGTGGTGTGTGTGTGTGTGTGGTGTGTGTGTGTGGTGTGTGTGTGTGTGTTTGTGTGTGAGTGTGTGTGTGTGTGTGAACGCGTGTGTGTGTGTGTGTGCGTGTGTATGGGTGAACGCGTGTGTGTGTGTGTGCGTGTGTGTGTGTCAGCGTGTGTGCGTGAATGTGTTTGTGTGTGTGTGTGTGTGAGAGCATGAGTGTGTGTGTGTGTGCGCGTGCTGCTCCCATTGCTCCGCCACTGCCCCGTGAGGGCCCAGCGGACTCCCTTCTTTGCTGGCGCGCAGGCGCGCGCCCGCGGGACCGACGAGGATCTACCAGCCAGGCCCAGCCTGCGACGACCAACAGTATGTGCGTGTGAATGTGTGTACGCGTGTGAATGTGTGAACGCATGTCTGTGATTGTGTAGTGCTTGTGCGTGTTATATTCTGAGCCTCTTCACAAGAAGGAGGTCAATAGGGGCAAACGTGGCTCATTGCGTCGCTGCAGTAGTTTGGATTCGGCCACGCGTTGGAGAAACAAGCGCGCGCGCGTGTGTGCCTGTGTGTCTGTGTGTGTCTGTGTGTGTCTGTGTGTGTCTGTGTGTCTGTGTGTCTGTGTGTGCGTGTGTGCGTGTGTATGTGTGTGTTGTTTTCGTCAGGTCTTCCCGCTAGACTGTGTCGCCAGTCAGTCTGTGCTACCCGTCAGACTTCCTGGATTGACGTCTTCGGGACCGCTCCTACTTGTTCGATTCGAACTGTTGGGAGCGCCTTACGCGCCATTTTGGCTGCGCTCGGCTTCCTCGGTGCCTGTGTTCAGACTCCCTGGATGCGCCGTTGCATGACTCGTCCTGGGGCTGCCCTGCAGACTCCCTGGATTGCACGTTTGTCTCAGGCGCTGACCTTTCAGACTCCCTGGGATTGCACGACGCTGGCTCCTCAGACACCCTGGGTTGCTGCCCCGCCGCCTGAGCCGCGCCGCGCGCGCTCGGGAATTTAGCCACGGCCGCGGCCCGTCCGTGACTGCCCGCCGCTGGCGCTTCCGCCTGCGGCTGTAAAAAAAAAATGTCTGTGTGTCTGTGTATCTGTGTGTCTGTGTGTGCGTGTGTGCGTGTATGTGTGTATGTGTGTGTGTGTGGGTGTGGGGGGGGTTCTGTGTGTGTCTCTGTGTGTGCGTCTGTGTGTGGGCATCACGGCCAGGGCCAAATCTACCATGGCACGGCCACGAGCCCCTCGTCGTCGATCGGCCCCTGGCATCCCCCTCGTTCGCACACGTGCCGGGGGCCACGCCGCGCCCCCCCTCCCCTCCCCTCTTCTGCCGGGCTGGACGAAACGCGGGGGACTGGGAAAGGAGGGACCGGGCCGGACGAAAGGGGGACGAGGAGGAGGACGAGGAGGAGGAGGAGGAGAGGACGAGGAGGAGGAGGAGGAGGACGAGGACGAGGAGGAGGACAAGGAGGAGGAGGAGGAGGAGGAGGACGAGGACGAGGAGGAGGAGGAGGAGGAGGGAAAGGGCGGGTTACAAAATCTGCTGCATGCAGCTGGCTTCGGCCCCGCCGCCGGGCTCATTCTTCGATACACGGGCGCCTCCCGGCGCCGGGAGGCGCTGGGAGAATTAGCTGCGTGAGCTGATTCTCACCCCCCCCCTTGGCTGTCCCCCCCTTTCGCCCTCCCCTCTTCTGGCCTCCCCCCCTCTGGCGCGACCCCGCGGCTTCGAGGCTCCAGCGCTCCGCTGCCCGAAGGGAGCTCGGAGCCCGCACCGGCGCGGCACGAGCCTATCGCGCCTGGCCTCACCGGGAGAGGCCCCGGCGCAGGCTGCCCACCTGGTGCGACGATTGAGCCGACTACACGTAGGAGTGACCTTTCGCTTGTGGACGACGATCAATGGAGAGGGAGCATGTTGCTAAGTCATTTCCAGATGTCTAAAACGTGGTTGACACATGTTTTGAACATGTAAATATCATGTGGTGAACATTGTTAGAACATGCTTCAAGCATTTTAAACACACTATTATAAGAATCCAACGATAGGAGTCTCTATTGATCCAACGATAGGAGTCTTCGGATGTCCACTGTCATGGCGTCCACAACCTTTCGCCGGCGTGACCTCCGGTGCGGGCCCACTGGGGTCCCCCGATGCTCTGGACGCGAAGCGGCAGCAGCGGCCTGCGCGCTCGGATTCGGCCATCTTGCGCCCCCCCCCCCTGAAAAGTTGCGCACCGAAGGTCCCCTCCTGCCCTTGAGGTCACTCTTGCGCGTCGCCGACTGAGAGAGTCGAAGGAGAAAAAACGCCACGAGCGTACACTTTCGGCGCTCCGCGCGGATTTCCCAGATCCGCGCTGGGCCCCCCCCCCCCCCCCGGGCGGCGCCTCTGGCGCTCCTGGCGCGCCTCGCACGTCAGGGAGTGGGGGGTCCCGCAGAGCCAAGAAATCCGCGGAGCGCCAAAAGTTTATGTTTATGGCGTTTTTCATCTTCTAGAGAAGTCGTGGGGGCCCCAGATTCAATCTCGGGGGCGGCAAGGAGGGGGGTGATGACTAGGGAGGGGGATCTCATGGCGGGGGCTATGTCATCTCCCTAGATATCTTGGCGCCTCTCCCTATTTCAGCACGTTCCTGGCCTTCTGGGCCGCGCACATACCGGCGGTCATGATTTGCGCCCCCCCTCACGCACCCCTCATGGGCGACCCCGATAACGGTGTGGTGATCACACCGTATGGTGAGAAGTAAGGATTCGGGGTCACCGCACGGCTCTTTGGGGGACTC